TAGGCAAGTCCGTGGAAAAATGTTGCACAAATCATGAAAATATCGAACATCGAGAGGTACCGTTATATGGGGGCTATACATACAATGTTTCGCTACAGGAGTAGGAATCCATTACGAACTACAAATGTTAATTTTTAGACAAATTCGTGAAAAAATGTTGCAAAAATCATCAACATACCGAATATCGGAAGGTACCATTGTGTGGTACTATACAAAAACGTGGACCTCTACATACATTGTTTCGCCACCGAGCTAGAACCTATTATAACCTACAAATACCAATTTTTAGACAAATCCAGAAAAATGTGGCGAAATTTTAAAAAAATACTGAATAACGGGAGGTGTCGTTATATGGCGGCTATACCAAAACGTGGACCGATATTTCAATACCAATCATCCACAAATTGTTGTGCCAAATTTTGAAGGTCTACGTCAAATAATGTAGACTGCATCGTGATTTCAATAGACAGACGGACAGGCAGACAGACGGACATCGATATATCGACTTAGAATTCTATATTATATTTTATGGGGTCTAGGACGATTATTTTTAACCGAAAAAAAGTTTTGCTGTGATAAGATTTGCCAGTCGAACTTTGATTTTTCTGTAGTGAGATTTTCCATCTCATTTTTTTGAGATACAGACAAATATTGGCACAATTAAGAACCGAAATTATGAACAAAAAGTATAAATTAAAGTTGACAGTCTTCTCGGCATCGGTAGGACTTTGTAATTACTATATTTTGGTCCGAAATTTAAAGCATTATAATTTTAGCGATATATGTCGGCAATTCAAACAAGTAAAAGAGCTAAAATCCGGTGAATAATGCAACTAAAATCATCAAAATACCGAACATAGGGAGATACCGTTATATCGGGGCTATACGAAGACCTGAACCTGCATAGACAATTTTCTGTCACAGGCTTTAGTACCCATTTGGAACTTCAAATGCGAAATTTCAAACAATTTCGGTGAATATTGTACCTAAAATCGTCAAAATACCGAATATCGGGAGGTACTGATATATGAGGCCTATGCGAAGACCTGGACTTGCATAGATAATTTTCAGGCATAGACTGTAGCTGCCATTCCGAATTGAAACTACAAAATTTGAAATAATGTCGCTAAAATCATCAAAATACCGAATATTGGGAGGTACCGTTATATGGGGGCTATACGAAGACGTGGAACTGCACAAACAGTTTTCTGTCTTAGGCTGTAGTATACATTTCGAACTTCAAATACCAAATTTGAAACAAATCCGGTGAATAATATCGCTAAAATCATCAAAATACCGAATATCGGGAGGTACCGTTATATGGGGCTATATGAAAACGTGGACCTACATGGAGTATTTACGAACTTAACCTGCCTACTGGCATGTTCGAAAGATAGCGTGAGTACAACATCGATATAAATCGACTTAGAATTTTACGCTGATGAAGAATATATATATACTTTGTTGGGTCTGACATGAGTATTTCGACGAGTTACAAACGGAAGGAAAAAGTTAATATACCCTCCATAGTATGGTGGAGGTCAGTTTTTTCGTAAACGCATGTTTACGTTAGAGTTTTTTTTGGGTTAACCTTCTTTATAAATATTAATTTGAGGTATATGCGATGAAATTGACAATTTAAACACACTGGGTTTTCAAAATCCTTTACAACGTAAACCTACTACAAGCGTGCCCGACTTCTGTCACTTTTGTGTTTGTATATGTTGTTTTGAAAACAAAAACAACATATAAAAATCAATGATTTTGAGATACTTTAAATGTAGAACACACATCAAAAGTAAGAACAGGTTTAGACATAAATTCATCAGTTTTTCTCGTTTTTGATAACAACTTGCAGAATATATATTATTTCAACTTTTATCTATTTCACTCTTCTTTAAACTTGAAATATTGGGCCTATGTTGTATTTTTTACATAAACCCCCAGCATTGCTCTATCTTATCTTCAGTTGCACATTACGAATAAAAACATAACACCAAGACAGTTCGTGTGGGTCATAAACAAGGATTTGCTGTGACGTTTCTATATTGTTTTAACTTTGCAAAACTCAACTTTATCTAAACATTTTGTTGTTAGTTGTTGCACTACGGGTTATTGTAGTAGTTAAGATAAAACGGTGTAAGAAAAAACTGCAAATTTATGGCAATAATAATAGTTATTTCTGCTTAAACATTTTGAGATAAAAATACTGTATGAACTTATTTTGAGAATCTGATAAACATTACTTGCCCCCAAATTAAAAGTAATAAATACCAAACAAAAGCTAGCTAAATTTTTTTGGAAAAAACGTAAAAATGAAGAAAAAGGTCGAAGGTCGATCGGCTGACTCTGACAAGACGGGGAATAGTGTGAAAAGGGAAGTTTTGGTATCCCTTATGTTTTTATTTCCCATGAATATATTTCAAACATATCCGATGGTCATTCGTCAAAAATATGAAAACACAACACTGTAGTGGCTCACATTTCAGGTAGAGTTGATCATGAGAAAAAAATCTAGTCCGCACACACGAAAAGTTTGTCCTTGGAATTTACAAATTGTAATAGCAAATACCAAGCGTCCAGGACCAACTGAAATCTTTTAAACTTTAACGGCATTTTCATTGCTATTAGAGGGATTCGATGTAGAAATGCATATCAACCTACACATAGGCCGAGATAAAAAACTGCAACAAAGTCAAACGTCATAATTTTTACATTTTTTTTAAATTTTATTGTATGAAAGCAAAAAATGTTGGAAATAGCATCAAATTTTAGAATAAGTTTAGAATTGTTCGATTTGGTCACCTTTGGCACGAATTATGACCTTCAAACGACCAATGAAACCGTCACATGCTGTCCGAATGTTGCTCTGCGGTATTTTGGCTCATTCCCAGCGAAGCCTTTGCTTGAGGTGATCGACACTTTGGTATTTTTTAGTGCCAACCAAAATTCCAGACAAAATAGTCCAACGGATTTTATCCGGAGATTTTGGTGGCCACTGTGCGCTGGAAATGAAGCGAGGAATCTCATTTTGTAACCGTCTTGGGTGGCGCGTGCTGAGTTTTGTCCAAGGTCTGCGGCCAAAATGTTTGCGTGACCAAGGCTTTAATATAATATTCGGCATTTATTCTGATGTCACGGTCGATTAATACGAGCGGAGAGCGACCATCGGCCCACACCATCACCATGACCGGCGGTTGAGTTCTGTTGGCCAACCGAAGGTGCACATTTTCAGCTGACCTCTTTGGCAAGTAAACACGATCATTTTGTTTGTTGACAAACTGCTGGACAACGAATGTTTTCTTATCGGAGATAACCAAATTCGGCAGTTCACCACTTTCTGCCAAGCGGAGCACATCTTTAGCTCTTTTGAGTCTATTTTCTTTCTGTTGCGATGTAAGTTTCTTGCACTTTTTGGAATATCAATGGCTTTACCCCGAGCTAATTTTTCAACATTTTTCGAATGGAATATTGCGATATGTTCAGCTCACGAGTCATTTTTCGGCCACTCAAACGCGGGTTTCGATCAAGCCGCTTCTTTACTTTTCGAAACATTTCTGCTGATATTTCTGTTTTCTTCCGTCCACTTCCTTGCCGTTTGGCTATGCTACTAGTATCACGGTAATGAGCGATAATACGAGACACAAAATATTTATTCACATTTAAATGCTGGAGTGCTCTAACGATGGCCACTTGGGGGTTTCAGAGCCAAATGTAAAGAACTCACACTATCACGCTTGAATTCCATCTCGAATAACTTTTTTTCTGGAAAATTCTCACCAAAATGCTTTTGTACGCTTGTAAACAATATAATGAGCTGTCACTTTGATTATTTTAACAGCTGTCAGACGAGTCGCTCAGAAATGACAACAGTCTGAAGTTGGTTGCAGTTTTTTCATCTCACCCCGTAAATACTTTGAAGGGTCCATTATGAATATTTCGAGGAGTTACAAACGGAATGACAAAGCTAATATACCCTCCATAGAATGGTGGAGAGTAGACAAATATTTAACAATTTTTATTCCGCCTTTTTTCGAGGTGATGTATGTAAGTAGCTTAAAATTTCATTTTAAACAGAAAGTGTAAAATGAAGAAATATTCTATACAAGATATCACTATAAATCGCAGAAATATACTCAAAACACTTGGTTTGTAAATCAAAACGCAAAAAGAGTTTTAGGCTCTTGGTCATATACAAAAGGACCTCTATGTTTTGAGACACATTTCGCAACATTTAATGCTGAGGTTTGAAAATTTTGAATAATTGCTTCAAAACTGGGTCCATGTCGAACCACTTTTTGGTAATGTAACAATAAACTCTGATTAAAAAATATATTGTTTAAGTTTTAGCTAGATTCTCCATTTAATTTCTATAAACTTTGAGTGCTTATGCAGAAACGCTCCTGGTAAACAATTATAAATAATTCTTCCTGTTTAATTCTGTTTTTATGCTGATCAAAAACTTTTGTACTTTATGCGGTCTTAGTCGAATATTTCAAGTTGTTTTGAACAGAATGACAACTTTAATAGTCCCACATGGGGTTGATCACTGTGAAGGGGGCACACAATCTCTATGAATTAATTTCGAATACAGAATTTGTGATGACATTTGAAGAAACTGCCAGATTTTACGACACATTTCCACGTCTTGTTTTTGTCTACCAAATTGAAGCATTGAAGTTAGACAATGTGCAAACATACAATAACTCTGTAATTTACAATAATAAGTGATCCCAGTGTAATATAGTTATATTATTTTTGAAGAACTTTCATGTCATTTCAATAGGGCTTTTAAATATTGTAGAGTTAGTTAAATTCATATTGCCAGTACATGTGATGCTCTTCCAGACAAATAACTTGTTGCACAATGTTTATCTAAAATACACGCGACACTTATATGGTGTATATATTAATTTAGTAAATATTTTCACATTTTTTTTTTTCACAACCAAAACAATTTAGAATTGCTTCAACAAATACGTCACTTTGTAAGTACACACCTTCTTTCCATTGACAAAAAAGACCAATGTCGAAGAGACGTTCGCCTTCTCCATTGAATTCACACTATCTTCAATGGTCATTTTATTGATATCAATGTTTTTTTTCGGCTTTGGTTTTGGTGGCGCACACGTCCAAGTTAAAAAACCTGATTTTGAATAGTAAATTCTTTCACTTTTGTTGTTGTTTTTATAGTTGTTATTGTTATTAATGTATTCTTTCTATTTTGTTCACTGAGAACTAAATGATCTGTAGTAGTAGGCAGTCAGTCCGTTGTTGTTCCGAATTGTTGATGATGTCGTTTGGTTGAATGTTCACATGTGTGTTTGTAATTTGTTAATAGTTATCACACACGTCTTTCAAAAATTCGAAAACTATAGAATATTTTACACAAAACGCGAACGCCACACGTCTTATCCACTCAATGTGTAGTCGGCAACTGAACAAGAAGCACTCAAGAGCAACGTTTAAATAAAATTGAGTGTAATTTTCTTATCACGAAATCAAATTAGTTTTGTGATAATAAGCAGTGTACGGCGTTGCCGTTGTGGATTTTTTTGAACGAGAATAATGGAAATGCATCGTTATGAAGTTCGGTTGGGCGATATTAATTTAAATCTAAGTTACATGTCTCGTACATATTTTAATAACACGTTGCATACCGTAAAACAAGACTGGGTTGCTTTTAAAACAAAATTTTGAATTCATTTTAATTCACAAACTTTCTAGGACAATATGTATTAGCACTAAAGGTGAGAATACATAAAACGCTTTTTTGACTGGCTTAAGTCATCGGCTGGCTTCTTCGGAAGAGAGCAAAGGACCGTAGAGCCAAAATCGAACTAAGTCAACCTAAAACTCCTTTGTTCCTTAACGAAGAAGCCAGCCAATGGCTTATGTCAGTCAAAAAAGCGTTTTAGGTATTCTCACCTTAACAAATGTTAAAAGCTAAATACAATTGAGATAAGTTATCGATAACAAAATCAGTGTTGCCACATTCATTCCACCTTTTTATACCCTCTACCATGCTATGGTGCTTTTAACTCCTCGAAATAAAAATTTTAGACCCAACAAAGTATATATATATTCTTGATCAGCGTAAAATTCTAAGACAATATGAATTCTAAGACAAAATGAATTAAGATAGGAAGGTAAAATTTTGCACGGACCTGTCTTTTGTGTGCAGGCAGGTCAAGGTCGAATATGGGCTCTATCGGTCCACGATATCGTATATTCTGATGATTCTACACAAGCAGTTCTCTATGAGTGCTTTACCCTCTGAAAGAGAATTGTCTATATAGGTCCACGATATCGTATAGCCTTTTATAATAGTACCCCCCGATTATCGGTATTTTGATGATTTTAGCTACATTTTCCAATGGAATTGTCTGAAATTCTACACAATGAGTTTGTTGTGAGTATTTTATCTCCTGAAAGAGAATTATCTAAATAGATCTACGATATCTTTTAGGCCCCATATAACGGTACCCCCGATATTCGGTATTTTGATGAGTTTAGCCACATTTTTCAACGGAAATTTCTGAAAATTCACACAAGGAGTTGCTTGTGAGTACTTTATCCCCTAGAAGCGAAATATTTATATAGGTTCTCGATAAAGGGGTTTTATTTTAGAGGTATATTGTAACGGATTTTTATTTAAAATTTTCAAGTTTCTTCAAAATGGTGGCGGAACTTACCTGCATTTTAACTTATGCAGTCTTAGCTTCAATTGTCCTTTATTCGGAGGTATGAGTTACTGGCAGGCAATAATGGATGTCTAAATCGAGTCTGTCACTATCAAAGTTGGCTTTTTGCTGATAGATGTATCCACTTGTAGATGTTGCTGGGCTGTTGAATCTTCTTACAATTGAGCTTTAACCATGCTATTATTTCATAAAACGGTGTAACCTCCTTTGACAACTTTAAATTCACTTCCATTTCTTTCAACCATATTTGGAGTATTTTGTTGAGGAAAAAAACATTTTGCATTAAAACCTTGTCTCCTACATTAATGTTGGAGTCCTTTGACGATGTACATTGATATGAATATCCTCTTTGTAATCGTATTTGTGCTCAGCAGCTAATTGTTATCATTTTACTAAGGGCTTATCAACAGTTCGCCTGAAGCCAATAAGGAGGAGTTCTGATTAGCGATATGTTATTTTCTGTCATTTTTTGACATTTGAATTCATCGCTGACATATTTCGGCAACACATGTTCGGAGAAAATTTTCTTCATTGCCTTATTTATTAAATCTGAAGTTGTGCACTTCAAATTTAAATATGTGGAATAGTAGTCAAATGACACTAAAACATGCTTCACATTAGGCAGCGACCCAGGGTTGTGTTACGATTGAACAAATATGACAAGTTTTTACTAAATTTTTTGCCTTCCTGTCTATTGGAAGCATTCCATACCTACCATACGACGGCTTTATATTGCTTAGTGACGATAGTAGCCCTCAGCCAAATCTAACACTTTTGGTCTAAGTGTTACAATTCACCCCGAATTTTTTCGATGACGGTTTGAAAATACAATTACAAGTTCCAACTCTAATAGTATGTCTACGTTGTTAAAAATCAGTCGGGTTCATTGTATACCCCGGAAAAATCTCTAACGTAAACATGCATTAAACCTGCTAGGTAATAACATAGACAAATAAAGGTATAGACTAAAAAGTTGTCTCATCTGTAATCTTCGAAAAAAGTGCTTCAATAGATGTCGTTAATGCTGTGAGAGAGCCTAAGTCTATTCACTCAATTCTCTCAAAATACAAAATATTAAATATTTTTATGATTTATTATTATTTATCAATTGAAAATGAAATAGTCGTGAAATATAAAAATATAGAACTTAAATAACAGAAAAATGAGTAAATTCACTAGCCCTGAGTGACTTTACTGGCCCAACATCAACCATAGTGGCATCTGCCGGAAGGGATAAATTTTAAAACTTTTTAGTCTACACCTTTATTTGTCTATGGCATTACTATCTATAAACCATTGCTGCTCAAAATAGTGTTCTACCGCATGGGTTCATAAAACAGAATATTTGAGAGCAAATTGATACTCTGTTTTTCTTTGTATTCTACAATTTATTTCTAACGTTTTTATATATAAATTTTGTCCAACTGGTATTAAAGTCAATATTTAAAGAATTATATTAATAATTCGTAGACACTAATTGTCTTTCGTTGTTTAAGAAAAAGTACGAGAAATTAGCCGCTTGCCCTAGAAGACCTTCTAGCTCAGCATTGTTTTAGAATACATTTTGCACTCAACTCAAAACAATCGCATCTCTTCTAATATGAACGGAAGTTAGAAAACGATCAGTAACCATATTTGACTCATTTAGAATTCATCAACAATTATTGAATAACTCAATAGCAGGTAATCTGAATGGAAAATATGTCATTATTTGTTAAAGAGACGCTGGATATGGATGCTACCATCATAGTGGGAAAATATTCAACAGAAACCGATCTCCAAACATTAGCATGATTTGAGTAAAAACGGAGTATTTTAGAATTTATTGAAACTGCAACAAAAAATCTTTATAGTTACATTAAGTTGACTAACTATATCATTTTCTTATGAATTCTACTCAATTTTAATTGTATTAAGTCTTTTTTCTTTAAAAAAAAATTATAAAAAAATCACAATGAAATCACTAAAAAGAAAAAAAGTAAAATAGTATCAGTCGGTTTTGAAGACAGACTTATACCTCCAGCCTTGAGTTATGAATATTTAAACTCTTGACCCTTTAGGAGGGAGGTTCCGTAGCAGTTGGCCAATATAGACCCATTCGTATCTGACCTAAGACTGATAAAAATATTGCAAGGTGCAGATTTTGAGTATATTGACTACTTCCTATACTTTATACAAAATATTAGAAAATATGGAAATATGCGTGAGGTAACAGATATAGCGGACAGAAGTATTCAATTTTCATACTTCATCTATTACAGATAAAAATATTGGTATGTGCAAAATTTGTGGTATATGTGGATTGGTTCCTAACAGTTTTGTGTGTGCTATACCCCTTTCTAACATGTTTGGGAATATATCTGGCATTCAATTCAAGCATGTCGTCTCTAACATGAGTGGAAATTAAAAAAAACAAGTTAAAAAGCAGTAAGTTCGGCCGGGCCGAACTTTTAATACCCTCCACCATTTGCAACGAATTTGGAAATTTTCAAAAAATAAAATCCTTAAAAAATTCTGTTAAAATTTTAAAAATACCGAATATAGCCGTTATTTTGGGGTCTATACGACGTGGACATACATAGGCATTGTTTGTCATAAGCCACTACCATATTCAAATTCGAAACTTGAAACTTGTCTTAGGGTGTAGTATCCATTTTGAACTTCAAATACCAAATTTGAAACAATTCCCGTGAATAATGTCCGTTATATGGGAGCTATACCAAGACGTGGACCTGCACGGATAATTTTCCGTCTTAGGGTGTAGTATCCATTTTGAACTTCAAATACCAAATTTCAAACAATTCCCGTGAATAATGTCGCTAAAATCATCAAAATACCGAATATAGGGAGGTACCGTTATATGGGGGCTATATGAAAACGTGGACCTTCATGGCCCATTTACGAACTTAACCTGCCTACTGGAAAAATAAACATGTGTGCAAAATTTTAGCCACCTATCTCAATTCATTCGAAAGATAGCGTGATTACAACAGACAGACAGACGGACAGACAGACAGACAGACAGACGGACATCGCTAAATCGACTTAGAATTTTAAGCTGATCAAGAATATATATACTTTGTTGGGTCTGATATGAGTATTTCGAGGAGTTACAAACGGAATGACAAAGTTAATAGACCCTCCATAGTATGGTGGAGGGTATAAAAACAAGAAACCACAATTAAGTCATTGAGAATGCACGAAAAATTGTTAAATAACTCAAATGCAAGAAATCTGAATGGAAAATTGCTCAGAATTGATAAATGAGATGTACATGTGGATGCTACCAACACAGTGGAAATATATTCAATAAAAACCGGTCTCCAAACATTAGCTTGTTTTGAGTAAAAACAGAATATTTTAGAATTTATTTTAAATTGAAATATTATTTTTATGGCTGTGAAGCTAAGAAGAAACTCAATCTTGTTGCCAATATTTTTCCTTTATTTATGTTCAGTTAACAGACTAGATCATTTCCCAAAGGGCTACTAATTTATTCAGATATGCCGGACCATATCTGTGTATCTGCAACAGACCCAAAGTACTTATGGAATATTAATAATATGTACCTTAAATGTGGTGTATGCATTGTGAATTATTTAGTTGTTAAATATTATAAAAATTCAAATCCATATTAGAAACAAACTAAAGGGCTAAATACAGAAGTGACAGTTTGTATGTACTCTTCGTTACTATGCAATTGTTTGTTATTTGTAGGTATCAATAGTC